AAATATCAAGTTTAGATGATGTCTAAACTATGAGTGAATTACACTCATAACTCCTCTCTCCCTTCCTTCCAGATGAGTGAGTGTCTTAGCATATGCACATCATAAATATAAAAATAAACACATAAAGGTATGCGAATGTGCAGATTATACATATCTATCCCATATGTATAGTAGAGAACTATGTTTTGTGCTAAGATTGTAAATAAAAGACATGAGGACTACCAAGGGGTGTCCCCTCTGAATTTTAACAAATTCCAGTGAGGTATCAGCACTTTTACTCAAAGGGCTAGTCTAATTACACTAGTGACATTTAGTTTGTACACTGTTGTTTGTACCTTTTTTGATGGCAGTGAAAAAAAATACTATTTTCTACCAACACCTATTCGTTTGTGCTAAAGTTCAATTTCTTGAGATGGATTTGAAAAACTCAAGGATGCTTCCGATAGTCTACTGTTTTTCAGATTGATATTTTGGGAGTTGAATTATGATACCCCTTTTGATATTTACAGGATCGTGCGCGTACAGAAAGTTACAGAAATGCAATTTTCCTGCATCAAGATCGTATAGCGGGAAAAGTAAGCAGTTGTCAATTATCATATGTCCCATAGTTGTCTTAAACTGTCAGAGGGTTATGTCGTCATACATGACAAGTTACAAGTTATTTGCTACGAATCCTAGTAATAATTGCATCGTGGAAAAGATTTTGATGTAACTTCTAACTCTCTTCTTGATTGGCTAATATGTGCCTCTCCTGATGATGAATATTGTATGCTCATATTTCAGGTAGTAGTTGATGTTGGTTGTGGCACGGGCATTCTTTCAATATTTTGTGCTCGGGCTGGTGCAAAACGAGTAAGAAGATCTATGCTTTGTTCTTTTAATTTGGCCACTGGGTAACTGACATTTCTAGAAATATGTATATATTGTAGCAAACATTTTTCCTGAGGAAAGGATCAGAAGCAGCATAAGTAATTTATCTTCCCCTTTTCTTGTGTTTCCAGAGGAACTCACTCATCAAACCTTTAAAAAGTTCTTGAAAAATACACAAAATTTAACACTATTGTGAGCTGTGCTATACTAATACTCTCATTGCTTTCTTGAGGCTTACTATTTTCAAGTAGATCATTATATAAGTACACATATATGCAACGAAGATGTGATAATTACGTAGAATATTATTTTTGTAAGAAAAATCACAAGTTTGTCTGAAGTGGACCCCTTACCGCATCAATGTGTGATGATGATTATAGCATTATTATCTATTAGTTGATATGGTGGTTAAATTGGGGGGCCTCGAAGAAACTGGACGAAGTTTTATTTTTCTTTTCCTAATATTCGTGTGTGGGCAATAATAATGTTTGTCTTCCCATTTACTTTGTTATTTTCTTAGCATTAATCCATGAGTAATATAACCTCTCTGGTTATCAGATGAAGGTAAGTAGAGAGGCTTAGAATGGTTTGACTCCTTCAATTAGGTTGGGTCGGACTGCTTTGTTTGCCCCAGCTTGGCAAATCGCATCCCTGNTGTCGGGCAATAGCATAGCTCTTTCTTTCCCCGGTCTCCTTTCGAAGGAGAGGCCTTCGCATTCCTAATCCGGTAGGGCCGGACGGCGGTGTTTGCCCCAGCTTGGCAAATCGCATCCCTGTTTCTGCCCGATCAAGCGTCTCACTATTTACCGATTTCCATCTGTCTCATGATATATTATTTATTTGCTATCTCGGCTGTTTCCTAGTTGAATGACTTCGAGGTTCTAGAAGATATAGTAGTTGTGATGGTCTTATCTTTGTGGTTGCTGTCCATTCTTCAAGACAACATTGAGAACTCCTAATTTATTCTCTAAGATCTATATTATTAGCATCACATTCCTTCTTTCTGCAGACTTCTTTTGGTTTTATATTTCCACTAATTGCATATATAAGTATGGCCTACATTTTCTTTGCTAACAGGTGTATGCAGTGGATGCCAGTAATATTGCAGTTCAGGTACTTTGTTGAATTAATTTTCAATTGTTACTGGCTGAAATTTGGTGCATGATACAGTGCTGTTCTATATCTGTCATTTCTTACATCCAAGATTTAAAATTCCTCATTACTGATTTAAAAGCTTAATCGGGTTTGGGAAATGTTCTTACACCTTCGTAGTTGTGTTGGCACAAAGGTATATAACCAACAAAATCAGTATATATTCCATTTTGGCCAACTAAGTTAACAAATTCACCTATATATTATTTGAACTCAATTATGACTTAATGAGCTAGTTTAAAATATAAAATCATGAGTCCCAGCTTAGCCTTGATGTGCAGACATGTTACATTATCAAGTTTTACAATTTACCTCATGCCGATCTATCCTTGCCTTGTTACACAATGTCTCCCTTTGACTAGTTAATTAAAGTTAAAACTCTCTTCCTAATTTTTAATATTCCATGGTGAAATTGTGAGAAAAACAACTAAAACCAGGGGCATTATTGGTATTACTTGTAAAATGACGCATCACCTCTTCAGCACGTGATGTAGCACCAAATTGGCTATTCTTTCATCAACAAATGTTCTTGCCTTTTTCTAGTCTGTTATTCATTTTGTTGGTTTTTTCGTCCTTTAGTTTTTGCTATATGTATAGCATCCCATGGCTAGACTCTTGTACTAAAATATTTGTTCCTCCTTTTTTTACTGAAATATTTGTTCCTCCTTTTTGTTCTGTATCCTCTTGCTAGTTAAGCGAAAAAGGCTCATGCCGTCGACAATATGAGTACTAATCTAAGCATGATAACCCTTTCTGGGGATGCACATAAGTTTTCTGAGAATTCCAGCGTTGTTTGCTCAGATTTCAATGTTCTCCGCAACAACGGTTACATCAAACATTGAGTCCCTTCGACCATGGTTTTCTTGGAGATCCTCTTTAAATTAGGTTGAGCACCAAAACAATAGCAGTAATACACCCTTTTCCTCACTTTTGAGCCTTAACCAAGCCTATGAATAATGGGTCACCCAACTTCTCCGTCGATAGCTAAGGGTTCATGGCTGAGCAATCTCAACTGGAGGCGGTGGCTAAACTTATACAACCTGGAAAGGAGGAGCTCTTCAACTATAAGTCTCAGTCTCGAGTGCTTGAGTTCAAACTTGCATTCTCCCAAACCTGGAAAGGTATACTGCTTAAATATTTGGCATTGATGAAATAAAAGCTTGATGGGCATGAAGGCAGCTGGTACCCATCTTAAAGGAAGAACTCATCATAAGCTACCCTTGGTGGACTTCCAAGGGAGGATGAATCAATCATACAACTCTCACTATTGGATGTAGGGTATTGTTACGCAAAAATCTCGCAAGCGTATGAGTTTGTTGTACAAGTAATAATTGTGATGAGTGAGTTATCGTCCCACAGGGAATAAGACTCAATTTTAGAGTATTCGATATATTTAAATTCGCAAATGTAACAAAAGATGGTTGATTTTTAGTTGACTACGTTCTATAACTACGAAAGCAATAAANAATTCCACTTTCATTTACTATTATTCTAAGAAGCACCGACATGGACACGAGTGTCCGACACGATACGTGTCCGACACGTTGACACGTGATTTTTTGAAAAAGTTTCGACACGATACGTCGCCGACACGTTAATTAAAATATTGTTTTTTCAATTTATTTTAATTTGATAGTCTAAAATAATAATTTTTATACTTATTACATCATATATATAAATAATTAAATGATAAATAGAAATCAAACTTGATATTAAATTCATACGTGTTTCTTAATAACAAGTTCAAAAGGTAAAAACGAAATTAATTACAAACCTCTTCAACATCTTTGTCAAATAATACAGCTGAAACAAAAATAATAGGTGAAAAAGCATAAATTACATGTTACTGGGAAAAAAAATTAGTAAATTACAATGGTGGGCCCAACAACTTTTCATTTCCTCAGACTCAAGACTCAGTCTTGTCCTTTTTTCTCTTCCACACGTTTCATCTTTTCCCTGTCTTCCCTGTGACCCAGTCTTCTCTTTTCCTGTTTTCTCTTTTCTTTCCCCAAATTTCCTCCTTCCCCACGATTCCCAGGCAGTTAACTTCCCCAGTTTCTTCTCCATTTCCTTTCTCTTTTCCCTTTTTTCTTTCCTTCTTCCCCTAAATTTCTTCCCTTCCCCATATGCATTTCTTCCCATAACAGTCGACCAGTTGCATTTCTTCCACGTATTACCGTTCATTCCTCTTCATTTCTTCCTCCTATCTATTTTTCTTACTGATTTCTTCAATATAGCTGCCTTTTCTCGCTCCGACACGCCGCAAGGAACTCCGACACGCGTCGGAGACGTGTCAGAGGCGTACCCGTGTCCGATACGTATCGGACCCGAGTTCGCTGTCTCCGGCAGCGTGTCCGTGCTTCAGAGTCCGCGAGCATCGAAATTCGGAATAATTTCGAGAATATGTACTTCATTTAGT